GCATCATGCAAAAAGAGGGAAAAAATCAAAGACATTTCCGTTAATGATTACGGAAGCGTTCACTTATTCAAAGAAATGACAAATAGAAACATTTTAAACATGAGAGTTAAATGATTACAAAAATTTGATGAACCTCAGTGCTAACCACTAAGATGAGCATGACGGGGAGATTTGAGCTTTGTTAAAATACAAGTAAATTAATAGGAATAGTAAAAACTACACTTCATACTGCTTAGTTCTGCTTCGCCTGATTTTGCACAAGAGCCAAAAGCTGATCATGGTACCGCTGGAAAAACGTTAGTGGATCGGCCGTAGTTTGGTACTCTGACGAAGGATTTGAGTTCGGCATCGTACCACTGCAACAACGGAAAATTTTTGGGATGAAAACGTAGGTTTGGCTCACAAAACCACAGGAGGTGGAGGAGCCGAAACAAAATTAGGTACTGCAGTGATAAATTTATTTCAGCGAAAGAAAGTGAAAATGAAACTGTTAATGGCTTTTTGGTTCAGACGTTGTCTCAGTTCAGGGGAAACTTCTGATATTAAAAAATAACTTAGCTTCCGTCACGTGACCAAAGTGTCTCTAAGTACCTATACAGTATTATATCATGGCTTTTGTAAACGTGCCATTCACCTTCAGTAAGCTTCTGGCAGCTTTAAGTTACAGTCTCCAACCGATATCCCGCAATGAACGAAAAAAATTTGAAAAAACTTATTTACAACTCGTATTTTGTCCATCTGGCACTCTCTCCAACAGAATGCTGCTGCTGTTTCTTCTCCCTCAGCGATTACAAAACAGGTTAAATCAGCCTGAGGTGAACGATTTGATCGGTCGTTATTCATAATAATGGTTTATTCTGACTTCTTTTTGCCATTAATTGTTATGCTATCGCTTAAAGTTCCTATTCCCATGTTATGCGACACCATCTCTTCCCCTACTTTTATGTTAAATAACTGAAGGAAGCAAATAAAAGGCTCACCTTGATCTGTGAGTAGAAACATTATTCGAGCTAGTATTATATGACTCTATACTATCATTGTGTTCGTTTCCCACTTCCAAGCGTTTCCTCCCGGTCTTTATAGCCTGGTTCAACACTCGAAGCATCCTATCTTTGTCATCAGGCGGCAGATCTTGCGTGCTTTCAAGCTAAAACAGAGAACTTTACATGAACAAGTTTCTTGAAATTTGCAGGTTAGTACCGATTAATGTGTGACATCCTCAAGCGATAAGACACAAGAAAAATTTAGAATTGGTTAAATGGTCATTAAAATTTGAGAAGAACGATCTCCCAATAAACAAAAGATATGAATCATAAAACCTCATGTAAATAACAAATATTAGAAATAATAGAAAACTGAAAAAGAAGCATTTATCTCATTAGGGATTCAAAGCTTCAAAAAGTCGTATATTAAAAACCTACCAACTGACGCGCCTGCAGCACCTTATCGAGGCTAGTATTGAACTGTTCAAGACACTCAGCAATGTGTCGCGCCATTTCTAAATCATCATCACTTTTAGCTTCAAAAGAGCCATTCTCATATGTTTCATTGAAATCAAACTTCTCAGAAATCCAACGACTATCGGCACACTCTGGGCTAGCTGCTTTTGGGCAAAAAGTCCCAAAATAAAGCGGCCTTGAAACTGTACGCAACTTAGCTCTAGCAAAAGTCCGCTTAAGCATCAATTCATAAGCTGCATCTTTGATTAACTTATTCTTCAGACGAGGAGGAGTGGCACTGGTTGCCAATAATTCATCACCACCAATAACTCTGCTGCTTATACCACATTTAGTGTAGCCCCCAACATTCAACAGCGCTAAACTATCGCAACTTTTAGACAACATTTTCAAGAACTGCGAATTATGATGATTCGGTCTTCTCTCATCTTCTAATACTTCATTCCTTCCTGTCACCACCAAAGCCTTACGCTTCTTCAAAGCATCTTTACGGGGAGCGCTTCCAGACCCGTCGTTTTCAGCAAGCATTTTTTTTCGGTTTAGACTCCAATTCTGTGCAGCTTCAATACTCAACTTAACACTTCTTCTTAAAGCAGTAGGACGACTGCTAGTGTTCATGCAAGACTTCTGCCGTTCGTCATCTAATGCTTTTTTAAGCGCGCTAATAGATGAAGTGCTTGCTGAAGAAGCAAGAGGAATTGCCCAACGTGGCCTGCTGTAAGAAAACTGTACGATTTCAGGTGGAGCATCAGCAAATTTGACAGTACGTCGAGTATAACTTGGGATACTTTCGCACATCAGACAAGTATTCTTGAAAATTTCTCGACAAATTCAGTTTTGCAGAAAAATAGCATTTAAATTCCTTTAAAGTAATTAATACTGCCCTGCCAGTAAATTTGGTGTAAGGGATTTCAGTCTGAACTAAGAGGCAATTAGAAATGCGGTAAGGCTTCAACAAGAGCAGTAAATGGGAATAGATAAAGAAGTCCGTAGGAAGAAATTCAATTGCTGGTCTTGAAAAACTTTTGTGGGAGGGAGAATTACAACAGGACAATTACTATACAAATTTGAAATAAAGCAAGCTTTCTTTCTTTTTTCACCTGATATCAGGTTCTATATTACATAATTTTTCTGCCAAATAATGAAGTTTAGTAGATAAGTAGATATTAGCAATATAACCTCAGGATTGAAACACCTATATTGAAGAAAACAGTCCTTCCGACAGTCACCTTTAGACGATTATAGCATCAGCAACAGATACAATAATAATAACCAAGCCATTTTCTTTAACACTCCTCCCCATACGATAATAACCAACAAGGAAAGATTTTACACAAAAGAGACCCTACCCAACCGACAGAGACGGCAGACACCAAAAGAAAATGCGGCAGTTTTTATGCTTAATGTCAACAATTATTCAAGGGAAAACAAGAAAAAACCTCAATAAAGAAACAATAATAGGAAAAAAAAACAGGTTGATGCCAAGTTGAGACCAATAAATTTTCTTTGAGACGCTAATTGCCCGTTACTAGAACTCAAATAACGCTTCAAAAAGTTAGGCACTGTAAAAGATACATCCTCTTACCAGGTACCTATCTATTCATCCATCTAACTCCAACCACCTTCATAAATATACTGTTGCTGACGTTTAACAAGGAACACTATGACATTCATATGCTCAATATGACATATTTCATTCCTCCTTTACTGCACATTTCCATCGGTTACGCTAACAGTAAAATTAAAAGAAACAAACTCGCCCATGCCGTACCTTAACGACCAGAAATCCAGAAAAATTTCGAAAACAAAAAAAGTTTTTCTGTGTAAACAAACTCTTCCACTAATAATAATGCATATCGCTGACGATTATCGCCGTAGCGGTACAAAATTAAATCGGCTACAGCGGAATAAGCACCATCTCACGTTTCTCATCAGTTACTCAGATACCACGACATTTACCCAAAGTTATCTGCCATAAAGCAGTCAAATTATCCGATATTTGAAGATTATCATTTTTCAATATTTATTCACCTTTTTTTTTAGTTTTACAAGCGAAAAAAATTCAGAAAAAGGGTTTTGGTGAGATAAACTATCCCGTTATCTACTTGTTATGTCAGCATCTCGTCCTAATAAAAACTACCAAAAAAAAAAACTCTGATCAAACGTCAACTTAAAAAATGGCTGAAACTTTTGTTCAGTGTCTGGAAAACAACCACTCGATTAAGTATCGTAACGTTCAAAATTTATATTAAAAAAATGAAAGAAAAAGACACTCCCTGTCACTTTTTGAATCTAGTTAAAAAAAACTTATTCTCTATAAAAAGAAATTTCCAAAAAAAAAAAAAAAAAAAAAAAAAAAAAAA